GATATTCAAATAATCAATATAAAATTAAATCATCAAATAAAATAGAAATATTCTTGAAATCGAATATAATATCGATTAGAGATATTTAAGATTCTAGATAATTCTAGTCATATAAATATAGATATTCAACTAGATAGAGAAGGAGCTAGATGAATAATTATTCAAATAGATAGATAGATATATAAATATTTTAACAAATAAATAAATAAATATATAAGAATCAGATAAATAAATACCCAATCAGATGCCCAAAGAAATATATAAAGAGATAGATAGATTCATAAATTATTTAGATATATCTAATTATCAGATATACTAATAAATAAATGAATATATCGACAGATGCCCAAAAATCGATCAAAAAGGTAGAAATATCTTAATAAATATATAAATCGATAGATATAAAGAAAAGGATTCAGAAATAAATAGATATAATTCACAAATAAATGCCCAGATAGATGCCTATAGAAAATCATATAGAGGGACATATAGATAGATTCATAAATAGATATATAGAAAGATATATAGAGAGCTATATAGAGAAATATATAGAGAATTATTTAGGTAAATAGATAGATATAAATCTAAATTCAGAGATATATCTATTCATATATATATATTCAGAATATATATATATAGATATATAGACACCTGCATTCAGAAAGTACGGCACTAGAGCTCACAATACTAAAATTTCGGAATATTTATAGCTTACAGCAATGATAGATAAATTTCGAAAAGGAGCCTGGAATCTATTCAGACCCTTGGCACTTGACCTCATCAAAGTCCGTATGAGAACGCGGAGCCTCTTGAAAAATCGAAGTATATGCGGAATGGCAAAAAAAATGAGGTTCTCAATTATTTGAATGGTCCTTTATCTCGGAGATCTCATATATTAATACATACTATCATGGAGGCGATCTTTCCCGCAAGAGATATTTAGGGATCACGGGAGGAAGGCATTCCATCTATCTAAAGGTCCATCCTATCGCTACGACGAGAGCCACGAGCGACTGGCTTCGCTTGACAAGTCGATATATAGGAGTATTTTAAAAATAGATCTGCTCTGGCTCCCCTAAACTAGTCCACTGCCTCGTTCCTACCGCGAAGCGCCACGAGTAGATAATATTTTCAATTTTGAAAGAATATCTTAAATATTGGTCGTTATATATTATAGAGATCAATTATTATAAATATATCCAAAAATTATATAATTACGAATATACCTATCAAAAATTTCAGAGATTTTATTATCGAGAATATATTCCTTTATTTCGAAAATTTTCATAACATGAAATTGCTTAGAATATCAATATTTTAGATCTAATAAAAAGAAATATTTCTAATATTATAATTCTGAAATTCTAAAATTATGAAATAAATATGCAAGAAATATTTTAAGATAAATATATCAAAAAATAATCTTAAAAGAAATTTGAACCACATCCAATAATTCGATACAACCAATATCTCCTCATTTTATTAGAAAATTATTTAATATCAATATAATTAAAATCATAATTTATCCTATCTATTCAATAATCTTAAATCTATAAAGAAATCTACATCCATAAAAATATCTAAATATATAAAGAGATTAAATTTATTAAATATTTTTCAATCTTACTTGTATATAATCAAAAAGAAGATCTTAAATAATTTATATCTCTACCGATAATGAATATAAAAATAGGATAGAGAAGAATTAAGATATATATATATATATATTTAATTCTTAGTTTTCTAATCTAAATCCATTTCTTTATGAAAAAAGATCAGTCTATCAATCAAATATCCATCTTCGTTGAAAGAATCTAAATTCTATATCTCAATTATCTATCTTTTCAATTAAAGAATAATGATAAACTAATTATAATTTCTATCTTTCGATCTATTTTGTCGCTTTGCTTATGACTATCGATTTATCGAAAATATATTCGATCAATTTCTGGTCCTATTGTTGTAGGGGCATGCGAAACAAGCGATTCAAGATTGAAGAATCATGTGGAGGATATTGGCATGCGCAGCTGTTGAACGTCCTGTCATGCCGAGATAAGTGGTCCCCCGGCGTGAGCTGCCGATAATCGTTTTGTGTAATGGGGAGTTTTCGAGCTATGCAAGCTTCCCCGTTGTGAGTGTAGCCTAATACCGTGCGTCATGATTCCCGGATTCTTGAATGTCATGGACAGGCTTCGCGATCGCATGGTCGAATCTCTGACTAGACTGATGACATGAATCGACTGAAGGTTGGGATAGCACACGATAACGACAAATATCATGATACAAAGATGGTAGGATATTGGAATAATGAGCGAGCATTTGATCAAGGCATACCAAAATCATTTGCCTCAAAATTCGGTGATTAGACAACGGACCCGGACTATGGTATGTAATTGGCCACTCAGCATGTAGTGTGTTGAGTGTTAACTGATGCATATCTTGTTGTGGCCCTACGAGCCCTTTTGTGGCATCCCTAAGCCCGAAGCCGCTTGGCTTTGGAAAGCCAGAGCTCGGAGCATTTTGAAGCAAATTGAAGCCAGTGGTCTTGCGAATGCCGGGCATGCTCATCCCGAGGAGCCAGGTGCGACCTAAGACAAGTTGAAACACTGAAGGAATGAGAAGTATTATAAGGGTTCCTTTAAGGGCTCTAGATGGGATCTAGATAGGGGCCTTCAGAATTAGAATAGGCTTTCGGGGTTTACTTAGTACCTCTATAACCAGGGTGCTAATTAATAACATTGGTGACTATTGTCAAAAACCCCTTTAGAGAAAGAGGGGCCGTTCCAGCCTTCTTGATCTCTCTTGAGCTCGGATACACTTCAGCAGCCGCACACAAAGACTCACATCCCTAAAATCCACACCCACCACCCACTCCATCGAACCGAAATCTCAAGCTACACCGAATTCGAGGCCAACGCAGAGTCGCCCGAAGGTCGTCCGGAAGCGCGCAGCTCGCTTCTAAGGGCCCGTGGCCGATGTCCAGGCCTTCGGCCAAAGGCTTACGGGAGTTTAGGGTTGAGGGTTGTCGAAGGTGACTGTTTTCAACAGTCTTCTCGTAGTGGTATTGCCAGTATGGTTCTGCTATTCAACGTACGCTGGTTCTTAGTGTTCCTACCAGTCTTGTTCATTGTGGGTGTCTGGAATCACCCATATACGGCCCGTTCTGCCCAAATGCAGGATCCTTCTCTTTCCCTGCTCGCTCGACACCTTCACCTCTTCGCACAGGTCTGAGTTTGGCGCGTTTGGATCCAGGCTCTTCAGGCTTCTATGTTGGTGCCAGCACTATATAAGACGCATTGAATTCCATCGTCACTTGTGCGATTCTGAAAGCTAGCATTGCCATGCTTCGCGGTGTTCCAAAATAGTCTCCCTGCACAGGTGACGTGCTTCAGTTCGAAGGCTCAAACGACCACCCCACGGTCTAGGGTATAGGGCGTCAGGATGTAGGTTTAGGATATTATCTGTATACATCTCCTTGGAGAGTTGAGCGTGACCTCTCCTGCAGGATGTGGCTGGAAATTACAGGCAACATGATGCATAATGCCTGCGATGACGAGTCAGTAAAACTAAGGTGCGCCATTTTGCTTCTAGTCGTGTGTATGACGGCACCTGTAGAAATCGTTGTGTTTGGATCACAAAACTGTAGCTGTGTCTGTCTGAGGTCCCTGCGCAACCGATAGCTGTGCAAAAACAGCCGACGACACCAGCCCTTCGCTCCGTCTCCGTAGATCTTATCGCCTGTGGCACAGGAAGCAATGGAGCCACATCAGGCTGCTCGTTCATCTGTGATATCTGATGACGACGGCTCATTACCACTGTGAGCTTCATAACTCTAACACATCATGTTAGTCATGTTCATTCACCGTCTTGCAAGCAACTCGCCTGGCGGGAGCCTATTCTTGCGGCAGCGTCACAGATCACACATACACACATCCATCCATCAATCCATCCATCCATCCATCCATCCATCCATCCATCCATCCATCCATGCATCCATCCATGCATGCATGCATGCACACATACACACACACACACACTACATACATACACATCATGTTCACGTACATACACAGCATACATACATTCATGCATACAGACGTACGCATCCATATACCTAGAAATACAATATAATGAAACCAACAGCCATTACAATACATTACATTGCACACATGCATACAACATCCATGCAAGCAGGCATTCATACTTACATACATACAGACATACATTCATACTTAAAAACATACGTGAACACGGACATACATAAGTCTTGAAATGCAGTATAATTAAACCAACAGTCAACACATACCTTACACCGCATGCTTACGTACATATACGTGCGTACATACATACATACATACATACATACATACATACATACGTACATACATGCGCACATACATACAGAAATGCAGACATACCTACATACATACATACATACTTACTTACATACATACTTACATACATACTTACATACGTACATGCATGGATACATACATACACACATACACATGCATACATATACGTATATACACATGCATAAACATGCATATACATACATACGAACGTACATCCATCCCAGCCAGCCAGCCAGTCATGCAGACATGCATGCATGGATGCAGGCATACATGTCATGCATTCCTTCATTCATTCATTCATTCGTTCATCCATTCATTCATGCATTCTTTAGTTCATTCTTGAATTCATTATTGTAGTCTTTCGCTCATTCACTCATTTCATCCATTCATTCATTCCATTCAGTCATCACTTCCATTGCATTCCGTTCCGTTTGATGTCATTCATTCATTCATCCATTCATTCGTTTCTTTCATTCCATTAATTCGTTCATTACTTCATTCCTTCCTTCGTGCATTCATAACCACATTTGTTCTTATATTTACATATACACACTTATTTATGTATGTATACACCCTAGCAGTGCATGCCATCAGACAGAGACCCATCTCACTCAAATACCCTCATGCAGGCAAGATCTGTCAGGCACACTCCGATGTAGCCGCACAGAACAAGAACCTTAGATATTCAACTTTGCCGGCAGGCCGACGAGAGGATGCCCTTGGTAGAGGAGATGGGCCCGAATCTGGTTTCGCCTGCCGCGGGGTGCTACGGAGCGAATGGGATCATGGGCTCTCTCGATGGTAGGCTCCGATGAAAGGAGGTCCGGCAACAGTCCCAAGTCCAACGTGTGTTGCGGGCACCAGAAATCCTTGCCAGTCCCAAGGCAATGAGTTTGAACTTTTTTTGACCTGGAGGTTCTGACTTTCGACTTTAGTGTTGTTCTGCAAATGGGAAGTTACCTACAATAGGGCTCCCCCTTGAAAGGTACTGCAACTACTCAGGCAATGTGAAGACAAGAAAACTACACTCCGGTCCAAGCAAAAGCAAAAAGCACCCCCCGGAAGCATCGAAGGCAACACTTGCGAGGCGCCTCCCAGTATGCAGGCGGACCGCAACCAAGCTGACCGCAGTTTCCGCCATGAAGTGGGCAACGGACAAGATCTGACCATGCTTGGACACTATGCGTCACTATTGTCAGTGTCCTGCCTATGCTCTTATGAAGCTCACGGCACCAGGTATTCGTATGTAACTAGCCTTACACAGTGAAGCAATTGCACCGTTGAGTAGCAATCGAGAGAGATGGAAGTCTTGTACGCTCTGCAGAGAACACATCAGCAAAGAAGGCCAGAATCGCCAGCCTCGGTCTTCGCCGCTCGCAACCTTGTTGTAGGTTGGCCTGAGTTGAGGAAGAGACAGGAGCATGTCATGCAAGACGGCCGGGCACCGAACGACCCGTTACAAGAGATGCTTTTACCGTGTAGGCTGTGCAGGTATGACAAGGTTTAAGAGCGAGAGACGCTGCGACTTGCGGCTCGCGGCCTTCCAAATCAGCAGCTTGACGCTCACCATACTGCAGAGGCTGCTCCAGCATCTTGACCTTTCAATGCACAGAGCATATCAGAGCAGCTGCACATGGCTCCATCTCGCCTCTCATACATCAAATGCATCCACCTGATTGACTCTTGCTCCACACATTCCGCGGTTGGGACTGGCCTGCGGAGAAAGCCAGCCATGACAAAGGCAGAGGTACTCCTGCAGTCGTCGTTAATCACCGGAACTCGGGACCTTGTCACATCGTGTCGCCCGGGGATAGGGAGCACATGTATATAGCTCTGTGCAGCGCAGAACACCCGTGGCAATGCAACTGCCTGTCCTTGATGACATTTCGGGAACCAAACTGTAGCATGGCCTGGCATATCACCGACGAGACTACCCGAGCCACACCGAATAGAGAGCATGGTGATGCCACTGCTGACAGGCCACACGATGCTTGGTATGAGCCGCATCACTAGTCTTGCAGCCTAGATCTGGGGCCAGGACCAGGGCATAGCCAGTGTAGCTGGTTGCGCACACCAAAGGCCCCGATGTCTCAGCATCCAAGCGATGCAGGATGCCATGCTGGGCATCCGGATCCGCAGATATGGGCGACCTTTGTTGACACATCGCTGCTGCGGCTAGCCGCGTAACTAGCCACTCCAACACTCAGGGTACTAGCTAAGCTCACAGGAAAGCTGCCCGATGCCTCCGAAAAACCCACCGCACTTCCGCATAGCAATGAAACTCGGACTTGGGCGTGTAGGTCCAGATTCAGTGCCGGCGTCGTGCAAATTTTCATTCCGGAGACGAATGTGATCAGAAAGCCCAAAAGTCGTTGCCAACCCCTACACTCTAAACCCTGAGCCCTAAACCTTAAACCCTAAACCTTAAGCCCTAAACCTTGAACCCTAAATCCTAAACCCTAGGCCCTAAACCCTAAACCCTCTACCCTTCAAAGAACCCTAAAGCCTGCGAAACTCTGCAGCTGCAGGCCCGAACTGGAAGGTGCTCTATGCC